GAGGTATTATCAGACATGGGAAGTCAGTTTACTTCAAATATTATGAAAGAGGTTAGCAGACTACTGTCAATCAAACAGAGACTACCACTCCTTACCATCCTATGTGCAATGGTGCCGTAGAAAGATTCAATGGCACTTTGAAAACTATGCTTAGACGGATGTGTTCAGAAAAACCGAAAGATTGGGATCACTATATTCCAGCACAGTTATTTGCATACAGAGAGGTTCCACAAGAAAGCACAGGATTTTCGCCTTTTCAGCTTCTTTATGGCAGGACAGTGCGTGGCCCTATTAGTATTCTCTATGAACTCTGGACTAATGAGAAAACTGAACCAGATGTCAAGAATATGTTGTGGAATTGAGAGAGAGGCTTGAGGACACTTGTCAGTTAGCCAAGGCTGAATTAGGAAAGTCGGCCAAAAAATACAAGAATTACTATGATGCTCGGTCAAAGGACAGACGATTCAATGTTGGAGATGAGGTATTGGTTCTCTTACCAACAGATCACAATAAACTCCTTCTTCAATGGAAGGGTCCATACAAGGTCTCTGCAGTTCAGGGTCAAGCAGATTACCGGATAAAGATGGAAGATAAGGAAAGGATGCTTCATGCCAATCCACTCAAAAGATATGTAAAGCGTGTGGAGGAAAATGAGAGTGCTGCATGCATAGATTCACCTGATGACAATGTAAACAACATCCCTAGCATGTCATCACTAGAATATGTTGCTACTGCTTTTGTGGATTTTGAGCATGAGGAAACAGAAGGCACTTATATAGAACTCCCTGTATTGCAAAGTTCTGAGGAGTACACTGACGTCCAAATAGGCCATTTGCTGGATGAGGAGCAGAAGATGGAACTGAAAGACATGTTAGAGGAATTCAAGTCAACCTTAACAGATATACGAGGGAGAACCAACTTGGCATACCATGAAGTCAAGCTTATCTCTGACACTCCAGGGAGATCTAAACCATATTCAGTACCTCATGTTAGCAAAGAACATATTGATATGGAGATACAGAAGATGATCAAGCATAGTCATCTCCCTATGCTTCTCCAGTTGTTCTGGTTCGTAAATCAGACGGATCACTTAGATACTATAAATTAAATGCTATTACAGTCTTTGATGCTGAACCTCAGCCTATTCCTGAAGATCTCTTCACCAAATTGAATACAGGAAAATATTTCAGTAAGCTGGACTTGGCGAAAGGATATGGGCAAATACCCCTTCAGGAGGATGCATGTGAGAAGACTGCATTTGTAACCACTGAAGGACGATTTCAGTTCAGAATTATGCCTTTTGGTATGGTGAATGCAGCAGCAACATTTACCAGAATGATGAGAACACTGCTAGCAGGAATTCCTAGTTTAGTCAATTTGATAGATGATATCTTGATCTACACGGAAACGTGGGAGGAACAATTGTTAATCCTGAGGCAGGTACTCACTAGAATAAGAGATGCCAAGCTGACACTTAGACCTACAAAATGTCAGGCTGGATTAAGGGAAGTAGAGTTTCTCGGGCATGTCATTGGGAATGGCTCATTGAAGCCCGTCCCAGCAAAAATCCAGAAAATTAGGGAGGCACAGGAATCAAGAACAAAGAAGGAACTTCGTTCTTTCATTGGTTTAGCAAGTTACTACCGAAAGTTTATTTCTGATTTTGCTGCAATTGCTGTACCTTTGACAGATCTCACTAAGAAAAACAGTCCCAGTCATCTGCGATGGGAATCGTCACAACAAAATGCATTCGATACGTTATAGAGTAAGCTCTCCACTGACCCTATTCTGAAGCTTCCAGACTTTACAAAGGTCTACAAACTGATGCCTCCGATGTGGGGATTGGCTCTGTCCTACTTCAGGAACATTGAGAACAGTTGTTTCCAGTTGCAAATGCCAGTAGAAAGTTGTTGTTGCGTGAGAGAAACTATGCGGTCAAAGAGCAGGAGTGTTTGGCATAGTCTGGTCTATCAAGAAATTTGGTTCATATCCATATGGTCGGGCATTCATTGTTGAAACAGATCATCAGCCATTGGCATCCTTGTCCAAAGTGAAATTACAGAATGCAAGAGTCATGCGATGGGCCTTGAGTCTACAACCATATAGGTTTACAGTCAGATGTTTGAAGGGATGTGAGAACCATGGAGCAGATTTTCTGAGTAGGGTTGCATGCTTGCAGAATGGTAGGAACTAAAGAGTTCACTTCTACAAAAGAGCAAAGTGTATAAAATAGTATACTTAAAGTATACTATGATTTCTGTCGAAGGCCTAATGTCATGTTTCATGCTCTTTTTATGAAAGTTATTTAGGATGTACTTTGGTAGGGGTGGATGTCAGCCTTAATGTGGGAACAGATCTCCAAAACACACCATTTCATTTATGTGCAAAACATGCATTTGGTTCTCAATGTGCTATATAAAGTCTTGTTAAGTTGAAGTTAACACAGTTGAACTTCATACTGTCAAGAGAGATCTAAGGAGACGGCCTTTTTGTGAGTACGTTTCTGGTTTCTTTAGCAAAGTTAAATAAGTAAATTTATCACTTGGTGTTGAGGATTATGAAAATATTTGTCTTTTAACATTGTTGCTCGCAGACACTTTGAGAAGCAGTTTTGGTGTTATTATTTTAAGAATGTTATTGTGTTAGATGTGTTGACACGACATGTTATGGTTGTCACCACGTGGCTAGCGAGTAGGTATTTTATTATTTCAGACTTGGGGAATATTGCTCCCACTTATGTTTTTTTGTAGTCAAGAGTTCGTCAAGATATAAGGCAGTACTACACTATTCTCGATGACAACAACAGAGCTGTTACACATCGTATACAGGATTACATCCATGGACTATTTTGTTGTGGACATTCTGTGCTTATGGACCATCAGTGAACTTTTGTGTACTTTTGACCATTGTTTGCCTCGCCATCTGAATGTGATTGGATGTACATTTGTGCTGATACAAGATACCCTGATTACCAATATTATCTTGTGGAGAATGTCGCTGTTTCATGCTACTGTTTGTGAAGTGAGGCTGTAATGTAATACACATATTTGGCCTAAACAGGTTTTATTTCCCGTTTGTAGTAATATGTGCTGAATATCCATTGGGTCTACTTTTGATTTGTGACATTATTTCCTACCAATCCAAAGATAAATTCTGGTATCTCAATTTCTCTTGCACGTTCATTTTAGTTATATTTTTAACAATATCTTATCTCTAAAAAGGGGAACGATTTTGCATCAATGGACGTCAAATGATGGTCCACTATCATTCACCCATATTTTTCATTCCGGCAGAGCCGGAAGATCATGAAAATCGATTATAGGGGACCTGTCATAGAACCATCATTCCCTATGCTACTCGAATTGTAGCGAGCTTTACACGGGAGGACTTGTAAGTTCGAGTGTCTAGATACATTTGTCTTGCGGTCTAGTATTGTAGAGAGCTTTACACCACGACATTAACAGACCTCCTTCAAAATTGATATCTATAGCTTGCTGCCCGCTTCATATTTACAATATGAGGTAAACAATGCAACTTAACACGCTTGGCAATTTTTACCTCCCAGAATACATTATCTTTATGTACAATATCACCGTCTTACCGTCTCGTATTGTACAGAGCTTTACATAGACGAGAGGCCGGCGGTGATTTTATATAATGTATAAAGATGGGATTGTATCCTGGCAGGGATGCTGTGTCCAAAACACTAGAAACCGTGGACGAATTTCGTCTGCGACAAGTAACCAAGATCAAACACCAACTCGAGCGAGAACAAGATGTACGAAGCACATTGAAACAAAAAGTACCACAGAGTCGTGAATGCCATTGACGGCGTGGATTCAGCACTAGTGACAACTAGCATGGAAATAACAGCCTTGGTATCGGGGCTGGCGGGAATAGCTCTCAAATTCATCTCATCGGCTTCAATGAAAGAACTGAAGCACAAGATTAGGGTTCTAGCTGATGCCAAGTTGAACACAATCGTCAACAGCGATCGCCGACAGCAAGATCACAGAGCAAGAGTTCCGTCTGGTCTTAGCAGAACTCGCCAAATACCATAGAATGAAACATGAGTTTTGAACCAAGGCCTGCACGACGGGCGACATCGACGAAGACAACAAAAAAAACTCTCATAGAACAGGGCAGACAACAGGCCAGGCAAGCCTTCCTTTCCAAACCCAAAGAGATAATAGGCAAATAACGCTGAACTGTTTCCTCGATATCAGTGTAAATCCATAAAATAATCTGATGGTTTTATTGTATTTGGTAAAACCGTTATAGTGGTAAGATACCAAGGTATGTTATTTTTCCCGTCTTTCAGGAAAGTTTGGGCTGGTTCTACGCGAACTCTAAATTCGGTGTCGAACCTGCTCATGTTTCTGGTTATCCAGAGAATTTTTGAGTTCCCCGTCCACAAATGATTCCGTATAGTGAGACTTCCCTTTTAACGCAAGCTCCAATCTTTGGTTTGCCCAAACAAAGGTCCCATCTTTAAGCACAACTCTACTGGATCTTTGTCTTGCCCACTTACACCAAAGAGTGTCTTGGCACATTTGTCTTGCGGTCTAGTAATGTAGAGAGCTTTAGATAGACAGCACAACATTTACTAGCCTCCTTCTAACTTTTAACGTTTTAATGCTTGTCGATTGTATATTTTATTAGGTAAAACACTGAGAGCAGCAATCGAGGATGCTGCAATAGCTTTACGGACACCCCCCAGATTCTTATGGTCGCCATTTTGTTCGTGGTGTAATCGGGAGAATCACCTCGACCTTGCGAGGTTGTCGTCACCTGCAATCAATAATGACTGGTGACGTCACCCCAGGATTGTGTATTTGTGTATGTGTGTGTGTGTGTGTGTGTGGTCGGCACGTGTATTGCGATTATTATTGTAAGACAAATTCTTTCTCTCTTCATTTTGTTTTGAAATCAAGAATCAAAGTGTCACATTCACCACACAGTACAAGCCAAGTATAAACAGCAAGTATGTTGAATCTTACCTGCTATGACTCCAAATGTAAGGATCAAACCAGTGACAGTCCTACAAAAGGATGCAGCTGTCAGTCCTACAAACATCAGTATACCAGCCAGAACACCTGTCCATCGGTTTCCAATTTTGCCTTGAATAATTCCTGCCAATGGTCCTGAAAAAATCCTTCATTAGTTTGTTTGGTACCGTAATGATAGCAAGATACGAAAGAAACACTTGACACGTTCAGCTCTCGAAAACATTGGACAAATTTTCTGTTTACATCTCACCGAGGAAGATATGCCAATAGCCGTCTGTCCGAATTTCATTTCAAACATTTTTATCTTTGAAGGAACCATATATTTCTTTCATCATACTGTTTCCACACCAAACGTGCTGTATATGTTGCATATTTTGTGTTTTTTCTTCCTCTAATGAACTTCAACATGGAAATTATTTCGTAGTTGAGCATCAAACATTGGTCATTTATGTATTTTGTGAGACACCGAATGTGTGCCCCTTATAAGTTCACAATGACCCTGTTTGCCAAAGACTGACTAACAACAATGTCTTCCGAGTCTTACAAACTGTTGGTTCTTTATGAACTTCACAGATACGTACGCCTGCTCAAATCAATGCCAATAGCTATCACCTAATCGACCAATCAATCTACCTGTCAAGAAAGTACATCTAGATGCACAATACAAAATTCCTATTTTTCTGAAGCTATCATTACATAACAAAACATTAAGAGGTACAATAATGTAATGGAGCCCAGAAGCAAGTTCACTTACCACTCATTGAGTACGTGCCAAGCAATGTTGACCCTACCCACGATACTTTGACCAAATCGCCATCAACCTCATCCAGAATGGCCGGTGTAATGACCCCAGGAGAGGAGTTTAGAGCACCACAGAGCACCTGCATAGCAAAGCAAGCGACACAAACCACCCATGCATATCCGCGATCAATGTCCTTTCTCGGGTGCTCCATGGTTGTATTTGCGGAGCCAAGGTATTTTCAAACTAGCATCCAGTGTTTTGTCCTTTATTCTTGAATGTGTCTTCTTCCTCAAAAGGTGAGTACCGTTTGCATCTACTTTGTATAGTATTTCTGGCGTGTCAAAGCGGTTCCTGCAAAACAAGCAGCATCTGTTCCACAAATAATGAAGGGATAAGACACCACGTTTAGAATAGTGTTGATTTTTGTGTACATTTTCAAACATTCATTTGGTGATAATTGCATGTAGACCTCGTTTTGGAACCTTTGAAAATGTTCACATCTTGATTCATAAATAACCATATCTTTCCAATATCTTGGAAGCTGCGTTATATATATAAACTAAACCAAAGTATTGTCATTAATGGAATACTTCGTACGGTACTGTATAACGTACAACGGACATCACTGTATGGTAGCTATTGTCAAGCTTTATTGTCGGTAGTTTCAGCGTTGTACGTTTTGCATGACGCCAGGGAGACACAACGTCTCGCAGTTAAGGAAAACAAGAAAGGGAATAAACCAATTTAGAGAACTTGGAAGTTAAGACTACGCTCATTAAATCCTCAGGTCCCCAACAAACAAACCCCACTATGGAGCCTTCTCCCTGTCATGGCGAATCACTTGTCTACGGAACTGGGTGCTGAGGTTTGATATCAGTTTACAATATTCATAAACGCTTACAATACCAAAAACTAAAGTATGTTTATGTCTTCTATATTTCAAATGTTTGGAGATACGTTGTATCACTGACAGATGTCTCCATTACCATTACACCATGTATAATAATCACTTTCAAACCCCATGAGTCCTTATATTTCGTCACATTTCTACTTTACATAAGAATGCTTATGCAAATATACATTCATTCCCTTCAGTTCAAGCATCATTACGAAAGAATATAAATATTTCGTTTCATGAACATACATTTCAAGCTCTTAGCACAAAAAGACACAGTTTCAAAGGCAATATCATTTTCCACACAAGATGTTGCCCATGGGCATAGGAGCCCAACATTCCACACCTTATTCCAAACATGAGGCAACACATGCAAATCCACTATTTCACGCAGTGTTTAATGTTCCATGTTTATGGGCATACAATCCATCATTTCCACCCCATGTTCCAAACATGAGTGAGTGAGTTTAGTATTACGCCACTTTTAGCAATATTCCAGCTACATTGAGGAGGGTACACCAGAAATGGGCTTCACGCATTGCACTCATGTGGGGATTTGAACCAGGATCTTCGGCGTGACGTGCGAACGCCTTTACCACGAGGCTACCCCATCGCTTCTCCAAATATGAGGCAACATGGAGATGTACTGTTATGTCCAGAGTATGATGCTATATTTATAGCAGTAAACTTCATTGAATTAACAAGCATCCTTGTAAGCTGTATTAATCAACAGTAAAACTGTCACAGCGGGGTTAAACCGGAAATAATCTTCACACATAGTACCCATGTTGGGAATCGAACTACGGACGTCGGCGTGACGTATTTGCCTTTAATGGCTTCAAACAACACTAAACAGACAAGTCTGTCAATATGAACCACTGTCAATTGAGCTCCAAACTTTGGTTACCTAAGTTTATTTAAACTGATTTTGTTGTTTTTATCCACTCTGCAGTCATGTGTCTGTAACAGAGGAAGTGGTGTTAATTTTCGTTAATGTGACAATGGCCTAACATATTTCACTGTCCGTGGTCTATTGGACAGTGGGGATTCGTTGGGTAGCCTAATGGTTAAAGCGTCAGCTCGCCACGCTGATGACCAGCAACATGAAGTTAGAAACGGATTCGGGTTTGGGGATTCGGGGTTTGAATCTCGAATCTGTTTTTTTTTTACATTCGTGATTCGAATCTCAAATCTGATTTTTTCGATATTAGAACCTCAAATCTGAGTTGTTTTTAAACATTCGAGTTTCGGGATTTGAATTCCGAATCTGAATAAAAAAAATTCACAGTCGTGGATTCGAATCCGGAATCTGAATTTTCCACATTCAGGGAATGTATGCGTGATGTTGGCATACTTCTTTGTAACCTTTTACAGCACATTGTCTCTACCACCATGCCCTCTTGCAATATGGGCTCTCTGGATAATGCCAATAGCGTCTTCGATGGAGACGAAATATACAGGATCGTTATGTTCTTCTTTCTTCCTAATCAACTTCTTCACATTCCCGCTCATCACGCCGAAGACACGAGTTCGAATCCCCACATGGGTACAATGTGTGAAGCCCATTTCTGGTGCCCCCCGTCGTGATATTGCTGGAATATTGCTAAAAGCGGTGTAAAACCATACTCACTCACTCACTCTTCACATTCCCGCATTGAAGGACTGCATACTTCTTGGGCAGATGATACTGATGGGAGGACTTCTTTGTTGATGATTCAGCTTCCAGCAATTCACTCTTGGAATTAATACTCGCTTGTTGGTGTTGTACAATTCAAACAGGTGACGTCTGAAACGCAACTCTCTCTCAGACTCCATTTTGGATATGAACCTTTACAGGTGCGGGTGTTATTATATAGTGTTTCTAAATGAGCTCAGTTCTCAAATGGAGTCAATCTCAAATTTGCTCATCAGCAAAGCCCATAGTTGGCCTTGTAGAATGGATAAAGGTCTTACAATCACACTCCACAATCAGTAGGGAGGAATGTTTAACACAGTTACCACAATTACAAAACAAACAAACCTTGCTTAATTGACCCTTTGACTTCGGCTAGCTATTGATGCATTATTGCCCTCAAATGTGTCAATCCCAAATTCTCTCACGAGAAGTAAGAAGGAATGTGTAATATAATATCTAGAATTACAAAACAAACAAACAGATTTCCTCCTTGCTTAATTCCCTATTTAAGATAGCTATTGATATATTATTGCCCTCAAAAAGTGTGTTTCAAATTATTGACCTTGTTTGTCTTTCTTCGATCTTTAACGAGAGCTCATGCATACAAGCAGGGGAAGAGCTTCAGGACCGGACTATCTCCGAGGGGTGCATGGCAACGTCAAGGATAGATAAGTTTGACGGTTGAAGGTGCAAAGAGTATAGTTGCAAGGACGCTGAAGTTCCGAATTCGAAATGTGTAAAGGAAATGCTTAATAAGAGTTCAAATACCGAATACCGAATGCCGAATGTCGAGATCTGCAAAGAAAATTCCCGAATATGAAAAACGTTCAGATTCGTGATTCGAATAATTCCAAATATACTGTAAGCCATTAAAAACGCAATTTGTATTTGTTGTCCTGAAACTGACTAAAGTTCTATTGAAGATGTTTTCCTGCAATACAGAGGATGTAGAGATAAAAGGCGGTTATTCTTACCCATTTCGAGTTCGAGTCCCGTAGCATTCCTCTCACATGAACTTTGATACTTAAAACTGAACGTTTGACATTTCTCGTAAACACAACCACATTCATGAAACACGTTCTGCACGTGCATTACCTGCACCCAGGCCCTGTAAAAGCACAAGGAATTGTGGAACTCAATCACTTTGAGAAAATGCCACACTTGACACAAGGCGAAAGGAATCAGGTTATCGTATGGTCAGCCAAAGTGCTTCAGATGTGATGATTGCCAGGCACTTTAATGTGCATCCATCCACTGTAAGTCGACTCAGACAACGTTTTCGGGCTATCGGAAGTGTTGCTGATCGTCCGCGACCTGGTGCACCACCTGTGATAACAGCTTGACAAAACCGCAATATCCGAGTTTCACACTTGCGAAATCGGTTCCAAACAGCTGATGATTAGGCAAGGAGGACAATTGGGACAAGGCAATGTCATTTCAGCGCCCAAAGGTGCAAAGACGCCTTGCTGCCTTCAACATCCGGTGTCGTCACCCGTACCGTGGTCCAACCTTATTGCATCGCCACAGATTTGCCAGACGGTGATGGGCAGCAAATGGGGCCAATCTTGGCAACAGGACATGGCCAGATGTCATTTCTTCAGATGAATCCAGGTTTAACTTATCCTTTGCAGATGGACGTCAACAGATTTATCGACGTAAAGGAGAAAGACTTGCGCCAAACTGTGTCCTTGAACATGATCGTTTTGGAGGGTGGTGTCATGATCAGACCACAGACCATCAGAGGCTGCAGACCATCCAACAGCTGTTTCTGAGTAATGTGTGTCTGTCAATGCCCCAAAGACTGCGAGCATGTCTTGCAGCGCACGGTGGACACACACGATATTGACTGCAAGTGACCCCTCCTTTGTGTGATGTCGTTGTTGCGTCACTGATATTGTTGTTGACTGGACATTTTCAAATGAAATTATTCACAGATGTTCACTTAAAACATATCACCAGTTAGGTTTATATATGTTGAAATTAGTGTGAGAAAAGAAAGTATGAATGTCAAAATGCATTTTTAATGGCTTTCAGTATATGAAAAACATTGAGATTCGAGATTCAAATCCCCGATGCCCCATCCCGAATCCGTTTCTAACTTCATGTTGCCCCTGAAGATCCGGGTTCGGTTAACCACAAGGGTAAAATGTGTGAAGCCAAGCTCTGGTGTCCAAGACGTGGTATTGATGGAATATTGCTAAAAGCGGCGTAAAACCTTACTGACTCACTAATGGACGTAACGTCTGCCTTGGGAACTAAATATTGGTCGGTTGATTTCCTGACCGAGTAACAGCAAAAGGCTCTATTATCATGGTTTGCGCTTAATGCAACAAAATAAGTAATGACATGCTCGCAGCTGATATGATGTTAGTGAGTCTGGTATTCAACAAAGAAGTTTAAGCAATATTCGTTGCTTGCTTTACACGGCTCGCCTTCACTTTCGAGTCTACCGAAAAAGTCTTGTTAAGACAACATTGCACTATGGCTAGGTGAAAGATGCGAGGCAGGTAATAAACATTAGCCACTGAAGCGTGAGCCTTTGTTTAAGGGCTATAGTCTACATCTACAATGCGACACGGTTTAAGAAGTATACAAGCGTGTGTGCGTTTGTTTGTAATATGACTGTTCGGTTTAAACATATTTATTTCTGATATATTGTTCAGAAACTGGATCGGCAAACAAGGAAAACGAATGCCTCTCCAGACAAAACAACATTTATGCGACTTGCATTTCATAACATTATTACAAAAGTACATGATATCAAATATAACATTAAGCATACATTATACACTAATGTAAACATCCATCCAGGAAAAATAATTTTAGTTCTGCAAGGGGCCAGATGAAAACTTAAGACTGATTAAATCTGTTTGAAGTGATAGTAAAGTTATGTACTGATTTGATAATGTCATGATTTATAGACCTAGGTAATTCTTGGTTACCACACAGAACGTCATTTATGTTGTATCCATGTTTGAAAATGAAATATATCGTTTCTTATGGCATCATAGTTGGTACTAATGGTAATAATAATGAATATATATATACAACAAACAAACAGCCAACCAACCATTGATTATTCGCATGTTTATATCATGCTTAGCATGAATAGTTACATGTATATGACTCCAATCCGTTTACATCTGTAGTGATGTTGTTTATAATGGTTTAATACGTGTGTATGATTAATCGAGACGACGGCGATCTAATTTTATCCCAAATGACTTCGTATTGTTGTGCCTTTTGAACATGCACTATGTATGAATATATACTACATAGAAATGGACTATTATTGTCATCTTTTATCGTCAACTGAAGTGTATTGTAGTAGACAAACTTACCCCTCCTGTCCTTGTCGATTGTGTTGGAGCTACGCACCATACCGTCGGGAACAGTAAACAGCAGCCTGTCGCTATACGCCTTGGTTAGTCTACTGCTGGCTTAGACTAGATGTGTGCATGTCAGTGTCTCTCACTGCACTTAGTCACCCTTTGCTCCGATTTGCATATCTTTGTCCACGTTGTCTGGTTTAGAGGGAATGTGATCCACTTATCTGGTTTCCTGTCAATTAAAAGAAAAGTAAAGAATGTGCCGTGTATACTAATGCAATCATTTTATCTCCATGCTTAGCTCGGATCTTGTTGACCTTTGTTACAATTACATACATACATACTAACGCCGATATCCCGCGCCGATATCCAGCTCAGCTCAGCTACTCAAAGGCGCCTTGTGTTTCCCTCGTTCACTGGATGTCAATCTCAAGAGCACATAGTATTGTCAATCTCAACTCCCTGGGGAGTATACAACTCTTGCAGCCACTAGGCGCACCGAGTTATTGTGGAATTGCCATCCTTACGAGGTACCCATTCACAGCTGGGTGGACTGGGATACATAGTCACAGTACTTTGTCCGAGGCCAGCGAGGTACTTTTCATGTGGCCACCATCTGGTCATATACCAACGGATTCGTGGGTTCTTTTAAGTGCACAGGGTTGTGTGCTGTACACTAGGGGTTGTGACAACACAGAAAGAGTCTGCACACAAAGTTGACTCCAAGGTTTTTCCACCCGGTCACAGGTGGGCTCGATCCCGACACCTCAACCTCGCTGGATCACTAGCCTGGCGCCTTAGCCAGCTCGCCCACCGCGCCCCCAATTGTATATAATCCATCTGCATTCCCATTATAATGGGATTGAAAGTCTTGAAAAGATGAGTGCATTAAACAATTTTCCCAAGATGAAAGTGGCAGTATCAGTATAATATATAGACTTCTCCTGAAGATAAAAGTGATCACTAGCCTGGCGCCTTAGCCAGCTCGCCCACCGCGCCCCCAATTGTATATAATCCATCTGCATTCCCATTATAATGGGATTGAAAGTCTTGAAAAGATGAGTGCATTAAACAATTTTCCCAAGATGAAAGTGGCAGTATCAGTATAATATATAGACTTCTCCCTGAAGATAAAAGTGAAACATGTTAGAGAAGATCCGTGTCGTGTGATTATTTCAGAAACTTCTTCTTATATACATGTATATATGACGAAGTATATATATATATATATATATATATATATATATATATATATATATATATATATATAAGAAGAAGTTTCTATATATATATATATATATATATATATATGTCAATAAAAACAGAATGCCTTTTTCGCCAACATGTTTCGTTCTTTACTCTTCAGGAGATTAATAACGGTTACAGTATGACGTCATGGCATATATATTGTGACGTCACAATAGGGACAACATTCCTGAGCGACAATCTATATATACGCACAATATTTCTTACACACCCGTGGGTGAGAAACCCATGTGAGAAAACTGGTATCACACATATGTGTGAGATCGATTTCTAATCCCGTGATTGGCTACTCCATGGTGATGACCTAGGGTCAGGGTATGACGGACTACTTTCCTGATTAAAATTCATTGATAAGTTACTCGTGCTTCAATCGAACAGAAACCTGTTACTCGTGCCAAAAACACCCCTTTACACCTACCTGTTATTTTCGCGATTACAACATAAACAGGTATTTATACAATGAGTCACAAGTAGAATAAATATAACACAAATCTATTTATTTTCTAATTCCTTTTATTAAAACTCTGATTTCTAGTCATGAATTCAAAATGGCTCCAACAATCTGTGATACCCGTGTAAACAATTATGCGAAAATCACCGTTAGACATAAAACCCTTGATTCCCTTCCAATATTCAAAATGTACAATACTTGTACTTTTACTGGAGAGATGCGACAAGTGTCATGTGTCGTCTTGCAAAAATACCTGACACGATAACGTCAGTGTCTGTCGAGAGATCAATTTGCCTTGTTGTTTCTTTGCTGCATTGATGAAGATGACATTTTTCACTGATACACATGATGGAGACTCACTTCCAGCTCCGAGATACTATGTGATTCTAATGTTATCAAATTCACTCATGACAATCTGAACCAAAACACAGTTGTTGAAACAATGTACAACATGGTACGTTTTGCAAGGCTTCATGAGTGCAAATGGCGGCACACGTCCTTTCTGTTCAATCGAACATGTACAGGAACGGTTGATCTACACATAAGTCATTGCTCAAGATATTCCTCTGACACATGATAATGAAAAGTTTATGTCTTGATAACTTACAGGATGTAATCAACTCACATTTCATACTGAAAACTCCATAAACTCCATCACATTTTAAGTGGCAGTTTCTGGCTCGGGAAAACGAGAAGGATGTGGCGAAGAAGAGTAGTCCCCCATTGACAGTGAACGTAACCTCAGCAATGTCACATTCAAGCACACTGGGTGCACCTAATTACACACACTCAAAACCTTTGGCTCCGGTCGATGGTAGAACATTGAGCGTAAACTGGTACACAAGTACAGATCCTCAATGTTCAGAGATATCCAAAACAATCTTCCGAAGATGACGACAACCACCAAGCGATAACGATGACGTCACACACTCAAATATTTTACGCTTGCAAGAATTAAAATCATCCACATTTGCATGGTAACATCATCGTTTTAGAGGGTTTAATTATTTTCAGTGATCTTATCTAGTTATCATTATCACCATTGCTTTGATGATGCGAAGAGGTGGCAGAAAGTTTGTTGTGGAGGGTCACCATTGGGATGAGTAGTGATTAGGAAGCCAAGTGACGTCACTCATTCATAAACGTTGTGTTGTGTATTATTGCGCACCTACGATTAGAAAACATGAAATTTGAATCTATTCGACCATAAATGATACGATTTATGTTGTAAGAAACAGATTACTGTACTCAATCTGCCAGATACCATTTATCTTACAACTCGTTGTTTCAAAACGTATTTAACTCGCTTTCGCTCGTTAAATACGTTTTGAAACAATTCGTTGTAAGATAAATGGTATCTGACAGACACTCGTTTAGTAATCTCTCTATATATATATCCATTTATTACATGAGAACTTAATCAAAACATTAATGTCGACAAAACGACAGCTTTTTAACACATACGAACACGATTACTGATATACATAGGGACCATACTTATCATGCTAGTTGAGACGCTCACTCGTTGTTAATCTTATTGAACATGGTTGCCTTAAAGCATGTTAACTGATGATCAAGATCACATCGACAGTATTGGTCGCACAAGACGTTTCATGAAGACTTCACGACAAAGTGAGTGAGTGACATAATATCTATCGTCACATCGGCAATTTCTCAGCCATATCGTGGACGAAAACAATTTATACAATAAAAAATAGAAACATTTTGAAGAGTAAAACCTGTCGACGATGGACAGTAAAAATACTAGAGTATCACTGATATAAATATAAAACTAGTAGGTAAAACTAAAACATTTCATTAAAGAAGACAATACAATATAAAACACGGGCTATAGATCGCCAAGAACTAAAGGTAGATCACCATACTAGTTGGTTTACGCCATCCTTTCAGCAGCTGGCGATGGTAGGAAGGTTTAGCCGGAATTTTAAAGAACACAAAATACTACGATTAAACGTCTGGTTCAGCGAAAATGTCTTTGAAAGTGTTTGGGACTTACGTACCCTCCCAGGAGGACAATAATGTTACGATACTTTATCCCCTTTGAGAATACAGCCACTGACAATCGCAGTTGCTAACTTATACTACCATTTATAAAATGACATTTTATCTTTTACAAGATATATTGTTCAAAATTTATCCAATAATTTCTGTAAAAGCAATTGTTAAATGATAATTTACATTACAATAAATAGCTCCTTAATTGTTAGGACACTAAAATATTGTTCCCTTGTGATGTAAAAATCAATACAGTCAAGCAGGACATGCTTAACCGTCATTCCGTCATCAAAAGGGATACAAAACGGAGGATCGTGGCCAATGCGACATCGTCGCATAATGACCTCCTCAAATCTGGACTGACAACCCAAGAAAGTTTAACCGATAGTTGGCTTGATTTGATGTAATCTATTGATACCTATTTGGGTGACCCACTTCTGTTGCATTGGATCATGGATATAAGATCTAACAATAGCTTTGCAATCGAAGTATGGGATCAGAAGAGTATCCTCACCTTTCGATAGGTATTCATGAGTATATCTTGTGTACGCCAATACGACATCGCCGCATGATGACCTCCTCAAATCTGGACTGACAACCCAAGTAGGTGTAACAAATATAAGGTTTTATTGCATATAATTTATTGATACCAACTTTGGTGTCCCACTTCTTCTACATCAGATCAAGGATGTAGGTTCTAATGCTAGCTTTGTAATCCGAGTAAGGAATAACAAGTGGTGTCACAGATTTGTTGAGAGCTGCTTTAGTAGTAATATCAGCCATTGTGTTACCAGAGATTCCAACGTGGCTTATTGGCCAGTAGCAAGCTCATTATATAATTCAATTATATCGATTAAAAGTGGATTGTTGCAAGAGAGATTTTTTATAGCCTGAATCCAAGAGTGAGTGAGTGAGTTTAGTTTTACGCCGCACTCAGCAATACCCCAGCTATATTGCGGCGGTCTGTAAATAATCGAGTCTGGACCAGACAATCCAGTGATCAACAGCATGAGCATCGATCTGCGCAATTGGGAACCGATGACATGTGTCAACCAAGTCAGCGAAACTGACCACCCGATCCGTTAGTCGCCTTTTACGACAAGCATAGTCGCCTTTTATGGCAAGCACATGGGTTGCTGAAGACCTATTCTACCCCGGATCTTCATGGGTCCCTGAATACAAGAAAGAGAGTCGGAAAAGATTATATACTATCCCAAAAACGAAACCCATATGCCAGAAATCTGTTGCGAAAATGTTGTATTTTCAAACATGTATAACTCGTCCACATATGGACTTTAGTGCATGAATTTGTACACCAGGTTAGAAGAAGGTAATGTCTATACAACCAAGTGGATCCTTTTAGATAACGGGGACGTTGAGTGCGATGGTGACGACGTAGCACACGGTCCCAACGTCGGAGTCTCCT